TTTCTCGAAAAAAAAAAAAAGGAAAAATGTGGGATTTAAGAGAAAACCACTCTTTTTACGAGCAATGTTCTAAGCACAAAAAATGCGTAGTTTTCGGTTATATTTCGAATGTTGTAGGTCGCATTGCAAATCTGCAATAGTTTGCGAAAACGTGTCCAATTTTTTTTTTAGTGTTTTTCCAATTTTTTCTCTTTCTTTGAATGAATCGACAAGTCGTTGTTCGACTCACCTAAATTTCTCACCATTTAAAAGAACACAGTGATAGAATTTTCTTAATTTAGGAACGTACTTATTCAATAAATTGCTGAAGAAGTCCGAAAAACCACGTGTACACAGAGCTTGCTGAATACGGTTATTAAAAATCTATGCCGATGAACATTATCAAGCGATTCAATTTGTAATAATATGACCGTTTGAAGTTTTACCTTATCGGATAGCCAGGGCCGTCGAGAGTCAGGCCGGGCCCCAGGACAATTCTTTAGATCGGGCCCCTTGACAAAAAAGCTCTTCAAACAGAAAGTTTTCCTCCTCTACTTGAATTGCTTTTTCTAAAAAAATAAAAAAAAAGGTCCTCATCCAAAAAATAAACTCACCCGTCTCGTATGTGTCGTTCTCAAACGCGACAAAGAAACCAGTTGACGGGCCCCCCTTATACCGCTGCCGGGCCCCCATTTGTGTCCGGGCCCCGGGAATTAGTCCCGGCTACCCCCCTCTAGTCGGCCCTGCGGATAGCGAACGCCGAGACCATGGCTATCCTTGATGCAACGTGCGGCTTTTGCGGTAATTCTATATTTATTTATTTATGTATTTATCATACGGTTTAAACCATTTACAAAATACATAAGTTTATAGTATAAAAAATATACATAAATATTAAAATACTATGTAGACCTAACACATTTTTTTACTTCGCCACTCTTTTCACTTGAAACAGGGAAGAGTTAAAAATATCAATATTCTGTTTTGCTGCAAATGTAATAGCATTTCTCAGAAGTCTGGCCATACCAATTCCTGAGCCATAGTTAGTTCTATGAGCTTTCAAAGCAAATGTGGAGCTACCACGCAACGGCCTAGATGGGATATAAAAATCTACACTTTGCAAGAGTTCAGGAGAATCAACAAGGTTATTTACAAGTTTAAAGATAAATAGAAAATCAATAAATTCTCTTCGGGAAGCTAACGTTTCATTATTTGTTGTGGCAAGCATATTTGTATAAGAGTACGGTAGTGACAATTTAAAAGAACAATACATTAAAAATCTACGCTGTACTCTTTCAAGCTTTTCAATATGAATTTGCGCATATGGTGACCAAATAACAGAACAATATCGCAAATGTGACCTTATGAGCAAATAAAATAAGATTTTAATTTTATGCAAATTCACAAAGTCTGCTGAGTGCCTTCTCACGAATCCTAACTGTTTTAAGGCTTTCCAAGCAACATAATCGACATGCTGAGAAAAAGACAGATTAGATTGAAATATAACCCCAAGATCTTTTACACTGTCAACTTTATTAATACGATTTCCATGCAACTCATAAGTATGATTAATTAGGTTTGTATTAAGCCCCTTATAAAAAGACACTACCTTACATTTTAAGGGATTAATTGATAATCCATGCAAAAAGCAGTATTCGTTCAAACTGTCTAAATTTTTCTGCAGTATGAGACAATCAGAGGGATCTTTAACGATATTATACAATTTAATATCATCAGCATATATTAAAACTTCAGTATCATTTAATTGTTTCACCACATCATTAATGTAAATGCTAAATAACAATGGGCCCAAATGTGATCCCTGAGGGACCCCTGATATCGCTGCATATTCACAATAAATGGCATTTTTAATTTTGACACGACAAACACGATCTGTAAAATAAGAATTTAGCCAGTTCAAAGCCTGTCCATAAATTCCTAGAGCATACAATTTACCCTTTAAAATATTGTGGTCAACTCGATCAAAAGCTTTCGCCAAATCTGTATAAATTGCATCTATTTGAAGACTATCTTCTACAGCAGTAGCAACATACTCGGTGAAGAGCATCAAATTGGTCGTAGTTGATCTGCCAACGTGAAAGCCATGTTGTTTGCTACTAATCACATTTGAAAGCTTTTCACTTAGTTGGTCATTAACAATACTCTCGAAAACTTTGGGAATTGACGATATTTTGCATAAAACTCAAGAAACGTCTTATAACAAGTCAGTAAAATACAGTTTAATAAATTATAAGCCTAATTAATTTAGGTATGTAAGAAATTTAAAAGTGGAAATCGCAAAAAATCAAATTTCAGAAATGCAGTGTATACAGGAGTTTTGGATCCCGCGGAGCTCGTGTAATGGGACATTTGTCGGGAAAATTCTACAACTTAGAAGAAACATACACACTTTAAACTTTGTATACACACTCAGAAGACATAAGGTTTGGGTTTACTCAATTTTCAGACCAAAAAACTGAAAATCGTTAATTTTAGGCAACTTTTCTCAAAAACAGTGTTTTTTGGTCGTCACTCAATGAATAGTGGTCAAAAAAATAGATAAAATATTTTTGCAGAATTTTCCGTAATGTAATAGTATTCTAGACACAATAAAGTACTTAAAAAAAAAGTTTTGAACCATTGGGTGCATTTTTGCCATTTTTGTGCCACTTCAAACTTTCGAAAAAAAAAATTAGTTTTTTTAGGGAAAAAAATTGTTTAATTGTTTGATATCTTGGCCAATTATAGTCTGATTTTGGTGAAATTCACACACACATAAGATTTTACATTCAAGAGTAAGATCTGAAAGTGGGATTAAAAAAATTCAAACAGTTTGGCCGTTATAGGCAAACAATGAAATTAGGCCCGCGGTACCTTTTGCTTTTCCGCCATTTGCCTAATTTTGGGATTTCTCTTGCCCCCTTCTGGGAATCAATAATGACATCCATTAAGTTCAAAACGCTTTTTTGTTTTTTCAAATATCTTAATTTTCACTAAAGTTATGAAGAATTTAGTGTTTGAACATTTAACAAATTCAATTTTTCGACCTTCGCCGCCTCAAAATACTAAACAAATTTCAATCGTCCAAACCGCGAGAACGGTGCATCGGCCCAAAATTTCTCAGGAGACATGAAAATTAGCATTTTCCCTTAGCTTTCAAATGTCGTAAACTGCGTTTTAAAAATATTGATTTATTTCCGACACGCGCCTGCGCAAAATTGAAAAATTGACAAAATCCAAAATTTCGGCGCTTTCGAAAAACAGCTACATTTTGTTTTGCCTTTTTTCGAAAAGATCATCTCAAAATACATAGAATCCATTTTGTTTCATCTAATTACAATTTAATGTAAGCTCAAAACCCGTAATTTAATTCGATTAATAATTTTGGTTTTCTCTCCATAAAATCAGTGTCGTGTATTGAATAAAACAATGTTTCGATTATTTTGTGCATTAGTGTAACTAGTTACATAAAATAAATCATTTTAACACTTTATATGTTAAAATTAGAAAACCTTTTTGTCCAAAATGAAAATCGTCAAATTTACCATCCATAAAACGTTCTAAATGAGATTTTTTTTAGAATAAATAAATGTGTTCTGGCTCACTTTCTCAAAAACAGTTTGTTTGTTGTCTATGATTAGTGATCCGCATCGACTATTAGAACACAAAATGTTTTTTAGCAGCTTGTCTAGACTAGAAGTCAATAACCGTCATATCGATGTCTTCATTAATTGGGGAATACCGGCAAAAAAATGGAACGGTTTAGGATCACTGGGCTTCTAAGTCCTAGCCTAGCAATATCTTTCAATGAATTAATAGTTAAAAACTGATCTCAAAAGAAGCATAAAACCACCGAAAGGACCTGAAATCAAAACATGGTAAATAAATAAAATACAAAAAAAAACAAAACTAGATTACTTAAATCAGAGTAAAATACTAATTAAAACCAACAATATGTTCTTCCAACTGTGAAGCAGATGACGCGAATTATGAACGTCTTAAAAAACTGTAAAATAGTTTTAATGTATCGGTACAGAAGAATAGTGGTTTCTGCACTTTCATTTACTGCAATTTTCCATTGATTAATTCTATTGATTTTCGAACGCAATTTTTCGGTTTTTAAACCAACTTGCACCAATACACACTGCTTGTAATATTTCTCGGAAGATTTTCTAATTAAAATTAAAATATCGTACCAAAAAAAACTTCAATCATTGAAACGTTCAAGTGAAACGGAGCCTGACGAGCAGTTCTTCATATCAATACATAACAGTAAACTCGAATATTTTTTTAACATTTTAAATAAATAGAACAAGAAACTACCTATATAGAATTAAAATGTGTAATGTGTAATACTTCAACAATTAAATGACAACTAGTTTCTGCATTAGGCCAAAAATATACAATTTAAAACGAACATAGTATTTTATGGGGTTCTGTTTTCAGAATAGACCAGGGTCGATAATTTTTGAAACCAAAAAAAATAATAGATGAAACCCGTTAAAAAAGGACAAGAATATAACAAAAATGAAAGGAAAAATAATTTACAGGCGATCTGAGGTCGGGAAGTGGGTGAGTTTTTAAGGGTAAAAAACGGTGTATCTCGATTTCCGGCAAAACTACAAGTCCTATGGAAAAAATTAAATGACAAAGTTGTAAGTAATAAAGATACCTACAACTTTTGTTATTACACTTTTTTCAAATAACCTCAAAATTTATGTGAAAAATTCAAATAATCAAGTTTTTGGTTTTTTATTTTTACATTATGCAAAAAAAAATTTTTTTTCGCGAAATTTGGTGAAAACTTACCTTTTTATGTCCTCGCACGAACGACTTACGCGTAAAAATGATCAGATGAGGACGCCACGCACATGCGTACGCGTAGCAATTTTGCGGGCACAAACACGATCCGGCGGCTGTCGGTCTTTCGAGAAGATCAAAAGGTTTTCGTACGCATAACATGCTCATTGTGGACGTAGTTGTCGTTGTGTTTTGTTGTTTGTTTAGTGAACTAAATGAAAATGGAATGGAACAATGAATTATCCCTGAAATTGATAGATGAGTACGAAAAATGTCGTCTTTTATGGGATCCGAAAAATACTTTGCATTTTATTAGACAGAAGAAGCAGGATGCTTGGATTACCATAGCTACAAATTTAAACATTAGTGTTTTGGATGTAAAACAAAAAAATAAGCAGTCTGCTGGGTTCTTTCCGCAGAGAAAAAGCTAAAGGTACACAGACTACTGGAACCGGTAAAGGTAAGTAAATACTGAAAGTATGAATAACATTTTATTAATAGATAATGGTATATAAATTGCTTATTTATTACTGCCGCTTTAACTTTATAACCTTCTTCTTATTTCAGGTGCTGACGAAGTTTATGTATCGAAGTGGTTCGCATTTAAAAGGTTTCACTTTTTATTGGATAAAGACGAGCCAAAAGACACAGCTGACACACAGGTAAGCAGTTGGATACAATATTTTTATACAAATTAAGCATATTCATCCTGCCACGGCACACGGCCATTGGTTAAAAAGTAGGCTTTAGGTATATTCATCACGAATTTCTTGAGCAGGTAAACTTGATTTTCGAGGTATATTTCTAATAGGTATTAGCGATGTCATGGTGTCATTCGGCATTCTCCAACTACCCGCTATAAACTGTCCATTAACTTCATTGTCGAAGGTTCCTGGTGGCGTATATACATCTTTAGAGCGATGATTTCGTCTTAGAAAATTGTGTAAAAAAAGTATTGCCAATACTATATATTTCGCTTTTTCTGGCTGGAGTAGCATAGGTTTTCTCAATATCCGAAACACAGCGGACAAAATTCCAAATGCATTTTCTACTAATCTGCTAGTCTATAATTAAAAATACGTTCAGGAGATCTTTATTGAAACTGGCCTGAGAACGGTCTCATGACATTTCGAGATAAAGCAAATGCTTCATCGCCAAGAAAAACATACGGTATTTTCTTCTCACGATCGGGTAAATTAGAATCTTCTGGTAGGTTCAACTCGTTCCGGGCCAATTTCTTATAGGGCTCACTATGTTTAAATACTCCACCGTCCGAAATTCTTCCTAGGCATCCAACATCAGCATATATGAAATTATAAGGTTTGTTCCAACTTGGTGTTTGGTACCGTTCTTGTATCATACCAACATCAGTTTATGAACGATGTACTGCGCAAGCCCATCTCTGAATGGTTTTGGAATCGAAAATGAGTTGGAACGTCTTTAAAACTGCTGATGGTTCATAAATAGATAAAATAGAAGAGGAAGAAAATTCTAACCAAACTTTTCGAAAAGAAAATAAAAATAAACTAGTTTTCTATTTTATAATTATGGATGTTATTGATTTTTTATTGTATCATTCTATATTCTATTCTAAATAATTTTGTTTATTATCCTTTCTCAATTTACCATTAATTCTAAATCATCGTCACTAGCATCATCATCAAAAAAATCACTGTCTCCTTTTATATCACTCATTTATTTTCCAAATATGATTTATTTTCTAAATAAAAATGTATATTTTGTTATTATCTACCTATCAAAACATAAAAACGCTGTAAATTTGTAGGTTAAGTTAACTAAAACTAACCTCTATCGGCTCTATCAACATAATATATCGATCGCTTTACGCAAGTCAGTTCTAACAGTTCCACAAAAATTTGTGAATCGATATGACGGTACAGAAACGATTCCGGAATCATTAATTTTTTAGTTGGAACGAATTCTGTATCAACCCGCACATCGTACCAATTAAGTTGGAACGCTTGGAGTGTAATACGCATGCGCTGTACCGTTACGGAATGGTTATGTATCAAGTTGGAACAAACCTATAGTCGGCATCAACCACCGCGAATAGCATAATACTGAAAAAACCCTTATAATTGTAATATTCGCTCCTACTATTAAATGGCGCTTGTAAAGCAACATGCTTGTCATCTATTGCCCCAACGCAATTTGGAAAATTCCATAATTCTACGTATCTTTTTGAAATTTCAAGCCATTTTTTCAGGGTTATTGTTTCGATCTTTACTTGACGAAAATCCATGTTTACACCTTTATAATAAACTATACAAGCAAACTAAGTCTCAAAACACCTCATGTTCAAAATAAAAGTCAGAAATTAAATGTTTTAGAATCATTAATAGATACAAAAAAGAGAATATTATTTTAAATGATCAAATTGAAACCAACAATTCCCCACTGTTAAATAGCTTTTACAACACATGTTTCGGAGTACCCTAACGCCTCGACCACTCTCATTAGATATTTTGTAGTATATTTTCTGAAGAATCTACAGTGTTAGCAAAATAATTGTTAAAATAAATTATCAAATTAGTGAAAATCAAACAAATAGTTTGCTTGTATAGTTTATTATAAAGGTGTAAATAAAATATTTTTATATTTTCAGTGCGAAAACATCGACGAAAATATTGCCGAAGACCATGTTTCAGAAACCATTGATGTAACTCTGACGGTTAATAATGAGACTGGTGACCATGCTTCATCTATAATAGAAAACCCTGTTTCCGTAAATAATGAAACGGACGAGTGCCATACTTTCCAATCGCCCAAACCAAAAAGAAACAGAATAAGTACAAAGAACAGCAATTCAAGAGCTGAAGAGGCCTATCGCATTTTGAAAGAAACCGTTGCTTGTCCGCAAGAACCTGCAGATCCATGCTCTGTTTATGGCGCACATGCCGGAAACAAATTTAAAACATATAGCCCAAGGACACGTGTTGAAGTTGAGCATGCAATAAACCAAATTTTATATGCAGCAGACAGAGGAAAATATGAAACTTCTCCCATGAATGCGTATGCACGTATTGACTGGACCCATCGAACACCTCCTGGAAGTATTTCTCAATCAAACTCAAGTTATCAATGCCCTACACCCAGTTCTTCGCATTCCTCACTGGATATGCCAGATCTAAATGCTGTTTTTCTAGATCTATAAACTTGTAAACTTACGAAATACCATTTCCTTTTATATAAATTTTGTTGACTATCCTATTTGATGTTATTCTCATTATTGTTTTTGTTCTAGTTTATTTTTTATATAAGAATTATTATACATTACATTACGTTTATTAATAAATACATATCTTTTCATACTCACCCGTACATGTTCAAGAAATTCCATTTTATGCTGTGCAAGAGTTTAATTTTCCCATATAACCCAAAAATGACATGAAACCGTATATGAAACTATTACATATTTTTTTACGTTTACGCCCACATGGATATTAGCTGATCTACGCATGGACTACAAAACGAAAAAGTATGCTATTGCGTTCAGCTGAACGAATATATTTCACATCCATTCTAGGTAGTAACAATACTGCAAAAAAATGAAATCCACCAATTACAGTTCGTATTTTGGTCTACCTATTATTTTTAAAATTTTAAATGAGTGACAATTCTGTCAAACTAATTGCCAATAAAATTTTTTAGTTATTGTGATTAAATGTACATTAAAATGAGTTATTCTTGTGTAGAATCGATAAATAATAGCATTTCTATTTTTATTTCGTCTACAATTATAAATAATTCGTTAATTTAATTAAAACTATATGAAGTCAATTTAATTACGATTATTAAAGCAAAAATGTTAAATGCCTCGATGGTGGGCACTTGCCTTTCATGAGAAAGGCCCGGGTTTAAATCTAGGCTGGGACAATATTATTTTGTGCAACAAGAGTGGATATGATGACGATATCCACTCGAATTGTACTGTATATTTTTTGGATTTTCCATACTCACTCTTGTTGCACAAATTACTAATAAATAAAGTTCAAATACCAAATGTTTTCCTTTCAGATTTCTCAAAGAAGAAAATTCTGACAGTGAGTTGAATTAATTAAAAGGGATCATGATTATTTGCAAGACACTCTGTCAAAATTTTCCTTATATTATTGTGTGTATAGTTCAATTTTTAAAGAAAAATCGAAAAATCGAAAAATCAAAAAATCGAAAAATCGAAAAATCAAAAAATCGAATCGAAAAATCGAAAAATCGAAAAATCGAAAAATCGAAAAATCGAAAAATCGAAAAATCGAAAAATCGAAAAATCGAAAAATCGAAAAATCGAAAAATCGAAAAATCGAAAAATCGAAAAATCGAAAAATCGAAAAATCGAAAAATCGAAAAATCGAAAAATCGAAAAATCAAAAAATCGAAAAATCGAAAAACCGAAAAACCGAAAAATCGAAAAATCGAAAAATCGAAAAATCGAAAAATCGAAAAATCAAAAAATCGAAAAATCGAAAAATCGAAAAATCGAAAAATCAAAAAATCCAAAAATCCAAAAATCCAAAAATCCAAAAATCCAAAAATCCAAAAATCCAAAAATCTAAAAATCCAAAAATCCAAAAATTCAAAAATCCAAAAATCCAAAAATTCAAAAATCCAAAAATCCAAAAATATAAAAATCCAAAAATCCAAAAATCCAAAAATCCAAAAATCCAAAAATCCAAAAATCGAAAAATTGAAAAATCGAAAAATCAAAAAATCGAAAAATCGAAATTTCGAAAAATCCAAAAATCCAAAAATCCAAAAATCCAAAAATCCAAAAATCCAAAAATCCAAAAATCCAAAAATCCAAAAATATAAAAATCCAAAAATCCAAAAATCCAAAAATCCAAAAATCCAAAAATCCAAAAATCCAAAAATCCAAAAATCCAAAAATCCAAAAATCCAAAAATCCAAAAATCCAAAAATCCAAAAATCCAAAAATCAAAAAAACGAAAAATCGAAAAATCGAAAAATCGAAAAATCGAAAAATCAAAAAATCGAAAAATCGAAAAATCGAAATTTCGAAAAATCAAAAAATCGAAAAATCGAAAAATCGAAAAATCGAAAAATCAAAAAATCGAAAAATCGAAAAATCGAAAAATCGAAAAATCGAAAAATCGAAAAATCGAAAAATCGAAAAATCGAAAAATCGAAAAATCAAAAAATCGAAAAATCGAAAAATCGAAAAATCGAAAAATCGAAAAATCGAAAAATCGAAAAATCGAAAAATCGAAAAATCGAAAAATCGAAAAATCGAAAAATCGAAAAATCGAAAAATCAAAAAATCGAAAAATCGAAAAATCGAAAAATCGAAAAATCGAAAAATCGAAAAATCGAAAAATCGAAAAATCGAAAAATCGAAAAATCGAAAAATCGAAAAATCGAAAAATCGAAAAATCGAAAAATCGAAAAATCGAAAAATCGAAAAATCGAAAAATCGAAAAATCGAAAAATCGAAAAATCGAAAAATCGAAAAATCGAAAAATCGAAAAATCCAAAAATCCAAAAATCCAAAAATCCAAAAATTCAAAAATTCAAAAATCCAAAAATCCAAAAATTCAAAAATCCAAAAATATAAAAATCCAAAAATCCAAAAATCGAAAAATTGAAAATCGAAAAATCGAAAAATCAAAAAATCGAAATTTCGAAAAATCCAAAAATCCAAAAATCCAAAAATCCAAAAATCCAAAAATCCAAAAATCCAAAAATCCAAAAATCCAAAAATCCAAAAATCCAAAAATCCAAAAATCCAAAAATCCAAAAATCCAAAAATATAAAAATCCAAAAATCCAAAAATCCAAAAATCCAAAAATCCAAAAATCCAAAAATCCAAAAATCCAAAAATCCAAAAATCCAAAAATTCAAAAATCCAAAAATCCAAAAATCCAAAAATCCAAAAATCGAAAAATCAAAAAAACGAAAAATCGAAAAATCAAAAAATCGAAAAATCGAAAAATCGAAATTTCGAAAAATCGAAAAATCGAAAAATCGAAAAATCGAAAAATGGAAAAATGGAAAAATCGAAAAATAAAAAAATCGAAAAATCGAAAAATCGAAAAACCGAAAAATCGAAAAATCGAAAAATCGAAAAATCGAAAAATCGAAAAATCGAAAAATAGAAAAATCGAAAAATCGAAAAACCGAAAAATCGAAAAACCGAAAAATCGAAAAATCGAAAAATCGAAAAATCGAAAAATCGAAAAATAGAAAAATCGAAAAATCGAAAAATCGAAAAACCGAAAAATCGAAAAATCGAAAAATCGAAAAATCGAAAAATCGAAAAATTGAAAAATTGAAAAATCGAAAAATCAAAAATCGAAAAATCGAAAAATCGAAAAATCGAAAAATCGAAAAATCGAAAAATCGAAAAATCGAAAAATCGAAAAATCGAAAAATCGAAAAATCGAAAAATCGAAAAATCGAAAAATCGAAAAATCGAAAAATCGAAAAATCGAAAAATTGAAAAATTGAAAAATCGAAAAAGAAATTCCGTAACGAAAATAAACCTAACACCCCCCACTCCGACCGGCACAGTGTTGCGGCGTTGAAAGCCGTGCATCGTCCAACGTCGTTTCAGTTCGGCAGACTTCGGCACGGTGTTTGTGTGCGTGCGACTATAACTGATTCTATCTCTTTTAGACACAATTTCGGAAAAATTGAATTTAAAAATTAATAATGATTCACAAGAATCCACGTCAAAATATGGGACCACCATTGACGCGGTATTTTCCAGATATTTAGAGGATATCAAGTCTCAAAGTTATGTTTCTTATTTCAGTTATCATAAACCTAACACCCCCCACTCCGACCGGCACAGTGTTGCGGCGTTGAAAGCCGTGCATCGTCCAACGTCGTTTCAGTTCGGCAGACTTCGGCACGGTGTTTGTGTGCGTGCGACTATAACTGATTCTATCTCTTTTAGACACAATTTCGGAAAAATTGAATTTGAAAATTAATAATGATTCACAAGAATCCACGTCAAAATATGGGACCACCATTGACGCGGTATTTTCCAGATATTTAGAGGATATCAAGTCTCAAAGTTATGTTTCTTATTTCAGTTATCATAAACCTTTAGTTTCAATGATAAAAATTTCTGAATAACCTACATGTATTGTAAGATAATAAAAATATTTTAAACAATATTAACTTCTCATTTATTCAATAAAAGAACAAAATTTGTTTTCTTATCGGTCACCACGCTCAAAAAGTGTAACTTGAATTAATATCAAAGAAAAAACTTGAATTAATATCAAAGAAAAAACTTGAATTAATATCAAAGAAAAAAATACTGCATAAATAAAATAAATAAATAATTATAATTGCATAAGTTGATAAAAATGCTATGCAATAGCTTACCGCGGCAGTCCCCGAGTGCCAAATTATTTTTTTTCTTCCTATTTTACTTTGTTTTAATCTTTAAAAAATGCATTGCCCATTTATATGTACGTAACGTAACACTTTACGCTAAATCAATGCTAAAAAAATACACAGGATGGGTAATTTAAAAACATCGACATTTAAACTGTCCCGATGTAACGGAACACCCTGTATATTTCGCAGTATTTTATAAAGTCGCAAATTAGTAATCTCAATAACTTTTATTTAAAACGTTTTCTCATATGTCTTATGATAAGAAAGATATTGGACTTCCTTGCATCAATGGGCCGCCCAGTATATTCTAAACGATGGCGAGGTAAATAATAAATTCTCCGGCGTGTGTTTCAATCCTAAATTCGCGAATTTGCGAAAAATATTCGCGAGAATCGAATCGAATGCGTTAACAACAGTCATTCCGCCGAAACCACCGCCAACCTTGAACGTTCTCTATAAAATTATTTACATTTTTTGTGCGTCCTGTTTAGGCCCACTCCGTGCCGATCATTCATTTATAGTCCAGGAAAAAATCATAATATACAATACATTCGATCGCAAAGCTTTATGTATGATATTTTTTTATTTTATTTTTAAAAAACGCGTTAAAACATTTATGGATTTCTTGATTTTTTTCTTACGAATTAGTAAAATTTCCACCAGGGCTGGTATATCTAAGTGGGTCGCGACATAGGAGTCCATTTTGGACGCCATTTTTTTCGAAATAGTAGTCGCCATTGATCTGGCAACGTGGCAACTTTTAGTCGCCAGGTTTACCAATATAAGAAAAAAAATCAATGTCATTTCTTAAATGACATTTCCATTATAAAATGCCCATATTTTTTAGGATAAAATATTTCAATTTAATAAATTATTAATCTCAGATGTACATAAAATACGTCGGGAAAAGTAGATCACTTTCAATTTTGTGCTGTTTTGGTTTTGTTTATTTTAAAAGGTAATTGAAGAAATGAAGACAATTTTCTTATAGATGATGCATAACAAATTATTGCTCCCTTTTTAAGAGCTCCAGTCCCTTAAGTCTATTTATTTTAGGTATTTTTAAATTGTTGGTAGGTATTATTCACTTCATTTGTATGTTTTTAGTTAATTTAAATAATTTTGTGTAATATCTTGCGATTTGTTTTCTATACATTTTAGCATGTACTTGTTGTCTACATCTTACAATGGATGGATTTGAAATACCTTTACAACAGAGGTACTTTCCTAAAACTGGCCGAAATTTGAAACTGAATACAGTTCTTAGAGAAAATCTCCAGTAAAAAATGTCTGCATGCAGAATAACAGTAGCATAGATTAACAAAGCTGACAAAAGAGTTGGACAAGCATTTGTCTAGCTTTTTTTAATATTTCAGGACAATAGTGTTAACAGCAGACTACAACAAAAACATCCAAAGTTTAGCAATCAAGCAAAATATTCCGGTATCTATATTTTTATTCAAAACTTTTGTGCTTCTACTCCAATACTAACCATATAGAAGCATATGCATTTTATAGTATTTGCAAGATTCGGATCAAATGTACCCACAATTTATAAAGATTATTAAACTAAAATAAAACATTTCAAATAACACCTGCTTTTATGTTAAATATGTTTTTATTAAATACATAAATTAGTCTCAACCACACATATTTTTTTTGTTTTTACGTCTAGTGTAAAAGTGACTACTAATTCAGTCTTTCAAGTTTATTATTTATAGAGACCAGCTACTACAAAATATCTTATTGATGATAACTAATTTCTCTTTAATAATGGTTTTGCATTTATTAACATTTTACATCACTTTGTTTATATGAAACCTCTATTTAACTCTTAATTAAATCACATTTAAATCAAGTAATTACATTTTCATATTCAACTTATGTATTCTTATTAGAACTTGGTCACTTTTTTTTTACTTTGAATCTTTTGACTGTGGTAACAGTCCATTCACCAAACCACAAAGTCACTTAAAAATGTTGAAAGAGAATGTCATAAAGGTAAAATTCCTTCTTCTATCATGTTTTCCATGCAATTTTAGGTTGTAAACGTTTTGTCCAACACCTTTTTTAAATTTATCCCAAGCAACACTATGAAAGAATTAAATACTGGATTTACAGCATTCAGTTTTGAGATGAGTGCAATCACAATGTAGGTAGTTTAAGAGATAATTTTCACATGAACACTTATTTACCAAAGCACAAACGCATGTACCTATTCATGTAACATTAAAATAAAGTGGAAACAAATTGCATAATTTGGTATATAAAAAAGTACAAAATGTTTTTAGTTTTAATTTGACATTGGACTACGAGGAAAACAGTGGTTCATTCCACTTGTACCATATTGACATTATTATGCACGATGCTAGTTCAAACGAACGTCAGAAAAGTGTTGCCAACTTAAGCTGACTACTATTTCCCCCCTAGCCTCAGTCACCCCCTCATCCATTTACTGGGTCTATGTCGCGACCCCCTTAGATATACCAGCCCTGAATTTCCACATTCTTTCTTAAGGTGATAATAATTTTTTAAAGAAATTAAATTTTAGGAAAATAAATTAGGCAATAATTAGAGATGCGTAATTTTCGTTTTTACGAAATAGAAGCGATAGATGCGAAATTCACGTAATTTATGCGATAAATACGAAATATAAGTTTGTGAATTTAATATTTTTTTGACTAAATTTCGAAGAAAAACATTTTTAAAGGCAATAAACACGTAAATTTTCTAATATTACGAGCCTCACGCACGTTGTGAACGTACACGGCCTGCGTTTCTAAGACCCAAGGCAGCTTTTTTGCACTCAAACAAAATGAAAAGTGCTTATTTGAACTACTTGCAAGAACAAGCTCCGCGACTGACTCCGAAACTTTACCCCACGCCAGTTATAACTAGCTGGAATTCTTGGTTCAAATCTGCAATCTATTTGAGCAAATATGTGGAGCATATTATTGCTTTTTATGAATAACTATGAAGATGATAACATGACATAACTAGTTACCTGACGGAATGTTTTTAAAATGAAACTCTGGCTCGCAAAATACGAGTTCAGTTGACATTCGTAGTCGAGTTCTGTCCAAAAATAATGAAAATAATTGACAATTTGGAAAAATCAAAATATCCATTCGCGAACATTTTATAGAGCAAATTAGAAGATTTAAAGTCTTCTCTTGAGCGACAACGTGAAGGTTGTTTTGGCGAAAACACTAAAAGCATTTTGTTAAAGGAAAATGGTGAATTCCATCAAGAGCACAGTATTATGCAGAAGACAGCAGCACAGAAGAGCTTGGATAAATTGTCTTCACATATATGGTTCAACCCAACAAACGATTCCTACCTGCACATTGGCAAATTATTTTGCCCATCAGTAGCAGCCGCCGTGACCAAATCATCTCTGGACACTAACTCAACACTGGAGAGCTTCTTCAGAATACTATTTTTCAGGGATATACCACAGGATGAACTCTCAAATGGATATGCTGATTTCCATAGAAAACTCGTCAATGTGGTTCAGCAAGAAACTCCTGTTAACGTCAAAATATTGCTACCTGAGGTTCGCGAATGCAGCTATACAAAGTCTTCATAGCCCATTTGACAGTATAGATGCTAAAAGATATTTTAGTATCTACAATGTCGCCAGAAATGACCGAAGGCAAAATCTTAAGCAAGAAAATATGGAGACAACCACGATGTTAGCTTTTAACTAACTTTTCTGTAATAAATGTTTTGTTATTTTAATGATTATGGTAATAAATACGAGTTTTGAAATATTTTTCATTTTTGTATGTGAATAATTGCGAAATTTTGGATTTTTGATTTATATTTATGCGAAATTTCGGTTTTTTAGTTGCGAAATATACGTAACCCTAGCAATAATGTCTGGAATATGCATATATTTTAAAGTTTTAGTTCCTTACAGTTTCCAAGAAAAAATCAAAGAGCTTTAAATTTTGAAATATAATGAAAATAAATGCATTCCTCAACAGCACTATTCTTAATATAATCCCCAAATTTAGGCTCATAATATCTTGTTAATGATTTTTTAAAATTCGCCAAAATTAGTGGCTAAAACGCCTCGTTAAGTGCTGCTTTCTGGTGTGAACTGGTGTAAATCGTTGCAAAAAATGAATGATGACTGAGAGTGTACGATACGACAGTTACAACGCGTTACACCAGAAAGCAGCACTTAACGAGGCGTTTTAGTTCCTAATTTCGGCGAATTTTAAAAAATAATTTACAAGAGATTAAGAGCTTAAATTTGGAAATTAGGTTAAGAATAGCACTGTTGAGGAATGTATTTATTTTAATTATATTATTTCAAAATTTAAAGACCATTGATTTTTTTTCTTGGAAACTGAAAGGAATTAAAACTTTAAAATATATGCATATTCTAGATATTATTTTCTATTTTGCCAAAATTTTAATTTTTTAAAAAATTTCTTTTTGAGATATGCTTGTCCGAAAATTATAAGGGGTACTGTAATCACCTTAAGGAAGTTTATGGAAGTAGAGAGGCATGTAGAATATAGACCAGCTGTGTCAGGCACGTATACAAGGGGGGTAATGGGGTAAAATTACATCTCCCCGAGCTGCTCGAAGAAATACTGGAATGTATCCAATTGTAACCTTGAGAAAGCCAACAAAATATTAACCCCACCCCCAAAAATCTTCCCAGATCCGCGTAAGATGTGTAACCTCTATTGTACTTTCCTATCGATTTACCATTTTTTCCAAGTCCAAATTTGATTTGAACATTTTATTTTTCGAATTTTCACATTATTTGAACTATAAATTATTTTAATTATTTTAGGGATGGTCATAGGTAAAAATATAATTCTAAACCTTTTTGTATCTTTATTTTGCCTTCCTGTTAATTGACCATTTTTCTAAGTCGAAATTTGATATAGAAATTGTATTTTTTGAATTTTTAAACTTTTGGGCTTAATATGATTCTAAACATTTTAGATCTTTATTATGCCTTTTTGTCACACTCATTGTGCTGCTCATTATAATTATTTTAAGGGATCGTAAAACATCGAAATATAATTCTAAACATTTTTAGACCTTTATTGTGCCTTCATGTGAATTGGTATTTTTTTCCAAGTCAAAATTAGATTTACAAATTAAATTTTTCGAATTTTTACAATTTTTCCCTCTAATTTATAATGATTTTTGGGGACGATCAAACGTTGAAATATAATTCTAAACCTGTTTAAATTTTTATTATGTCTTCTTGGGGATTGACGTTTTTTGATAGTCGAAATTATATTTTTTGGATTTTCACACTCATTGATAAATTGTTTTAGGGGGTGGTCAAACGTCGAAATATAATTATTAACCTTCCTTGGATATTTATTGTGTTTTCGATTGATCATTTTTTTCCTAGTCGAAATTAGATTTGGAAATTGTATTTTTCGGATTTTCACATTCGTTGGGCCCATTATAATTATTTTAGGGGATGGTAAAACGTCGAAATAAAATTCGAAACCATTATGGTCTTTATTGTGTCCTTATGTCGATTGACCAGTTCATCCAAGTCAAAATTAGATCGGGAAATTGTTTCTTTGAATTTTGATCCCTCATGAAATCTTTTAAATTATTTTAGGGGGTGGTCAAACGTCGATATATAATTTTAAACGTCTTAGAGATCTTAGTTGTTCCTTCTTACCGATTAATCATGTTTTCAATGTTGATATTGGTCCCAGAACTCTTGTTTTGTATAATTTTCCTCTTGAAATTATTTTAGAAAAAAGTAGGGGAATGTGTTGTATACAGGGACATGTTGTATTGAGGGACGATCAATTTCTCTCAGCGACTGTACCGTTTAAAAATCTGCGCAACTGATATTGTGGAGTACCTCCTAGTCGTAAATAGTTGGTTATAACCTAAAATGCGTACAGTGTTGTATAGTGGGATGTTGTATATATAGACGCCCCACTATGCAACAGAAAATTTATTTGCCACATAATTAGTATTAAATAAATATAAAAAATTCAGTAGGTAGGTTACATTGTTTCTTTTTGGTTACAGAACATGTCTAATAAAAAAACCGAAAAGATGGAAAACTTTTTCAATGAAGTAAACTAAATCAGAAGCAATACGCTGAAAAAAATTAAGGAAAGCTGTTTTAGAGGTTATTAATGAATAAATGAAAATAAGATAAGCTTCTCGTCAATATGAGGTTAGCAAATCGGCTTTGGATAGATTTGTTAAGAAATATCAAGATACCTAAGAGAATCTTGGACAAAACTTAAAAAAAAATACTAAGATCCCCCTAGGATTGAATCAAACATGCCCAAAGTCCAAAAGAAGAAGCATCTGCAGATATGGATATCTTTTTAGAAGGATGACATGGCTTTCTTGTACAGTTCATCAAATTTCTAGAGGCTTTCGACGGCTAGACAGAGAAAGCACTACTGACAGGCATCCCGACGGATTTACGCAATGAAAGTACACTCTGCGCATCAAGTATTTCACTATTTCATTCAGACGTAAATGTCAGATGTAAATTTCGCTAAAACATTTCTTTTATTTTCGTTTGTGTTTTTTGTTCATTACAGTTTAATAGAACCTAAGTATGGAGTTTAATAGCAAATTAAGAGGCCGCGTGATTAACAGTCAATCTCGCGAAATAATAGCCAATGTTATAGAGTTTATGAGAAGAGAAGGAAACTTTAATTCACCTTCAATACCATTTAAAAATGTAAATGATCGTGTTGCTGCAGCCACAGGAGTATCTAAAAACACTGTCGTCCGCATTTCTGGAGAGAAAAAAAGAATCGATAACCGTGAGATATCGGAATTTTCATCACCAAGAAAAACCATTAAAAAACCAAAAACAGTTAATGATATAGATGAAGCTGCACAAGAATCAAATTTTATTTTTTTATTATTAGATAGCTATTTTTGTTTCTGAGTTGTGTTCATTTACAGGCTCAATTTTTTTCCGTTTCTCCTTTTTGATTTTATATGGGGTTTCAAGTTGTTTTTGACTTATTTCGACGTAAATCACAACAACACACTTTTTTAATAAAGCAAACAAGTGTTAAGAGGTATATGTACGTGTAAACTACAATTACAAAAAATTGATATGAAACCCATGAAACCACCAACAAAAATGTAAAGCTAGCTTCCGTACTAGAACATGGTGTCATTCGTCGAGATAATTTATCGTTTTGTTTAATAGATCAAGAAATGTAAATATTCTCCTGTTATTTTTTATAAAATTATAAGAGAAATAAATTTTTTTCTAAATAGTATAGTTTATTATTTTGTAGAAAAACAAAATTTCGAAAATTTTAGTAATGTTTCAGAAACAACCGTTATTAATAATAGGTACCATTTTCCTTAATAAGGTAGAAATAAAATATAAACTATTTCCACGATTTATAAAGGCCTACAAAAAATTATAGGTATTTTCCGCTATCCTATAAAATTTATATTTTCTGACTCAATTTCAAAAGGTTGAAGGAATTCCAAAACACCTTTTATGGCATAATAATTATTTTCAATTCTACATACTATCTTTAGCTGCTTTTAAAAACGTTCTAAGAAAGTCCAATCAGACCAATTTAATCCCTAAACTATTCCACACTTTTAAAATTTAATTACCTAAAAATATTAAAAACTATTTAAAATAACTTGTTTAGCAGACTGTACAATAGCTATCTTAGTCACACGTAGCGCGTTCTCTGTCTGGGCGTCGAACACTTCTAGAAATTTGATGAACTGTAACAGTAAAATTTAATTTTTAAGCTATTGCATAGCTTTTATCGCGGGCTTTGAGCGGCAACCGAATCAAGAAATTTCGTAACACCGTAACGAAAATAAACCTAACACCCCCCACTCCGACCGGCACAGAGGTATGGCGTTATAGCCATGGAAGGTTCTATCCGACCCTATTCGTATTAGTATGAAGCGGAGTTAAATATACGTCTGCGGACTGGAACATTTATGCAGTACAAGAACTAGAAAAGCTTTCTGTGGCTTCTAATAAATTGGTATCACAAATGTTCCCGGCTGGCGTAAATATTAGATATTAATTTTTAAGCTATTACATAGCTTTTATCGCGGGCTTAGAGCGCGGCGATCGAATCAAGAAATTTCGCGAAAATAAACCATTGTCTGCATTGTCTAACGTCGTTTCAGTGCGTGCGACTAGACGTATCCGTGTAGACTAGCTGCTAACTGCTCATAACTGATTCTCTTTTAGACCCAATGCTAGGTGAGACAGCGTGCTTTTGGCCGCGTCCACGAGTGAGTTCGAGCCCACTGGAGTTGTACAGTATATTTTTTCTACGACTCCATAACAAAAATCGAAAATCGAAAAATTGAAAAATCGAAAAATCGAAAAATCGAAAAATCGAAAAATCGAAATATCGAAAAATAAAAAAAAAGAAAAATCGAAAAATCGAAAAATCGAAAAATCGAAAAATCGAAAAATCGAAAAATCGAAAAATCGAAAAATCGAAAAATCGAAAAATCGAAAAATCGAAAAATCGAAAAATCGAAAAATCGAAAAATCGAAAAATCGAAAAATCGAAAAATCGAAAAATCGAAAAATCGAAAAATCGAAAAATCGAAAAA